GGGAAAAGTATCGGCAATACATTTTTGTAATAACAATTATTACCAGCAATGAATTTTGGAAGGAAAAAATTATTACCAGTAATGAATTTTGGAAGGAAAAAATTATTACCAGCAATGAATTTTGGAAGGAAAAAATTATTACCAGCAATGAATTTTGGAAGGAAAAAATTATTACCAGCAATGAATTTTGGAAGGAAAAAATTGTTACCAGCAATGAATTTTGGAAGGAAAAAATTATTACCAGCAATACATTTTTGGAAAAAAAATATTACCAGCACTAAAAAATCTTGTCGGCGTTAAATAACCCATTGAGTTTGATATGCCGTAAAACAAATCAAATCCGTTCTCTATTTCCAATGATGTTCTTCATATGCCACAGCTTGATAGACAACGCTATAAAAAATAAATGCGAATTAAGAATACAGGGTTAGGTTGACAGATAAAGGGAGACGCGTCTAGATTCTTTCGTACTAACGCATGTGTCATCCCCCCCTCCCAAAGGCTCCATCCTGGGCCCTACTCTATTTCAAATTTTCATTAATGACCTTCCTGACGACATCATCTCTCAGCTGGGTTTATGCACTGACGACACAACAATTTACTTCTTCCTCGATAAGTAAGCAAAATCAAAATGGCAGCCGATGTCCAAAACGACTTCAAGTTCGTAGTTAACTGGAAAGAATATATGGCTTGTTAATTTTAACGCCTCCAAAACTTTTCTCCCTTAATCATCTGCGAGACTCCTCTCTGCCTTCCATCAGCATATGGCTGATGCTAACCCCCAGGAAAGTGATTCGTTGCGTCTTCTTGGACTCACGTTCTCTGCTGATATAAAGTGGAAAGACTCTATTGAATCCATTGCTAGGTCAGCTGCTAAGAAAATCGGTTCACCGTGTAGTGCGAGACAATTTTTCTCTCCGGAATTTATCTTGCATATCTATAAGTCTACCAATTGTCCATGCTTAGAATTTTACTGACACACATGGTCCGCTTACCTTAAGGTCCTTGATAATATCCAAAGAAGAATCAGCAATATTATTGATCCTGATATGGCGGCTCGGCTTCAGGCATTTACCCACTGCCGTAAGGTTGCTTCCCCGTGCCTTTTTTATAAATATTTTCATGGTAATTGTTTGGATAAACTCTTCGATAAGGTACTTAGACTCTATGAATTTAAGCGCAGTCCTAGACTGGCGTCGAGATCTCATCAATTTACACTTGAGCTGGCTACATGTAGCCATAAGTTATATGTTAGCAGTTTTTTTTCTCACACTTCTCGCTTGTGGAACTCCCTTCCGACTCCATGCTTTCTAGCCAACTTTAATCAGCAAAAATTTAAATACAGTGTCAATCGCTATCTAGTGGCCTCCTGATTGCTCGTTTCTCTTTCTTTCTTTTTTTTTTTTTTTCATTAATGTTTTTGTTCTTAATTCTTTCACACCCTGTAAGCCCTTGAGTGCTAGTGGCTTTATTGTATTGCTTAGAGTGATATTAAAAAAATAAAATAAAAATTTTCATATATATATATATATATAGTGATTTTCCAAGCGTAGCTTAGATGTGGCACAAGGCCGAAAGTATGGGGCACCCAGTGAGGATCGAACTCGCTACTTATATATATATATATATATATATATATATATATATATATGTTATACACTGTTACATTAGAACATATAAATATGCAGTACAAAATAGTACATTTTGTTTCAACGTTAAAATTAGCGTCTCTTCAGGTGGCAAACAATGATGGTACATATTTATATTTATTTTCCAGCAGTTAGTACCATCATTGTTTTCCACCTGAAGAGACGTTAATTTGAACGTTGAAACAAAATGCACAATTTTGTAGTGGATAGTTACATGTTTTAATGTAACAGTGGATAATAAATAAATATTTTTTGTTCTGCTTTTGTATTCAGCCCTGTTTTAGATTAATGTTTTGAACGTTGACATTTTATTCTTCCTTCTTTTACATTTGGATATATATATATATATATATATATATATATATATATATGCGTGTGTGTGTGTGTGTGTGTGCGTATCTATTGTATCCATTTGCACATAATCTGTATGATACGACAAAGCAGGTGTTCGATTGTCTAGACGTGAATCTAAATGAACGTTGTTTCTTTTCGAACTGAAATGCAATAAGTCAGAGACGTTCAAAATGAAAAACAATTGAGATCAGTTGAGGCTTACAAATACAAACATTTCCGCTTTAGAGGCCATCTGGCCGGCTTTTAAGGCAAAGGTTCCAGAGGTCTTTCTAAAGAGCCTCCTTTTAAGCTGCCTTACCACTCACTCTAGGAAACGAGCGATTCAGTCGCACACAATCTTCTTCTTCTATGTGCCATGTCCATTCAGGACGTTGGCGATCATGGCTCTCCACAATTCCCTATCCTTTGTAGCTCTTAATAAATCTTTTTACCATCTCACCCAAACACTGCTCCACTCGCTCAAGCTCGCCTGCTTTCGTCTGGCCCTCTTACCTTCAATCTGTCCTCTGAGTATCCTATTTTCCAAATCCTCTTTCCTCATGTGCCCAGGACATTTAACTGTCTCTTCCTGAGAATTACAATTATCCTTTTTGTTTCCATTGCCTCTTAAACTTCTTCGTTGTTCACATGTTCGTTCTAAGGTATTCTCAGCATCCGAAAACGAAAAGAAATTTTTTTTTTAAAATCATCAAGGCAATAAAGCCACTACGACGCATCTATATCGAGAAAACTGGATTTTCGAGCAGGACAATGCTGCAATCCACAACGCTCTCCAGATCGAAACCCAATCGAAAATGTTTGGGGATGGATGTTTATAAACATGGATCGCAATATGAATCTGTGGATGCTCTTCGTGCTGCAGTTTATGCATCCTGGGTGAGCATCCCAAGCACCCTCCTGCAGAAGTTAATAATGAGTATGCCAAAGCGATTTTTCGAAGTAAATTCGCAAAAATGATGGATATACTGAGAATTAAATTGTCTTTGCGACTTATTTGTTCTGTATTTGCTATTTTTACTTACATGGTCTTATCTTTATGACCAACCAAAAAAAAATCCTTTTTTAATGTTTGTTTAAATTAATCAATTAAAAGCTTAAAACGTTGGCTTGTTTGTTGATAAACTGCATTAATTAAAAGTAAATTCGCAAAGATGATGGATATACTGAGAATTAAATTGTCCTTGCGACTTATTTGTTCTGTATTTGCTATTTTTACTTACATGGTCTTATCTTTATGACCAACCAAAAAAATCCTTTTTTAATGTTTGTTTAAATTAATCAATTAAAAACTTAAAACGTTGGCTTGTTTGTTGATAAACTGCATTAATTAAATGTAAATGTTTTGCAAATATATTTTGATTAAAGTAACCGTATTTTTTTTTAACCCTTTTGTATCTGGCCTTAAGATTTTGACCAGCAGTGGATCTACTTTTATCATTCTAGGGTGAATCGGGGTTAGGTCTGCTTTGTCGAACCGGAGTATCACTTTTTGATTCTAGAGCAAACCGAATTTAAACTACCTTTGATTCTAGAGCAAACCGAATTTAAACTACCTTTGATTCTAGAGCAAACCGAATTTAAACTACCTTTGATTCTAGAGCAAACCGAATTTAAACTACCTTTGATTCTAGAGCAAACCGAATTTAAACTACCTTTTTGTTTACTAATGTAAACCGGACCTTTTTACATAAAATCAACAAAAAAATCTAAAGGAAATCTTTAACAAAATAGACACTTATAGGTAGAATCAGGAAGCATGATGATGTAATGGATAGTGGCTCAGATTGAGGAATCGGTGAGCCGAGTTCGAATTCCAGTCGAATCCATTATATTAACTTACGTGCTAATACCCTTGGGAAAGGTATGAATCTTCTTTTTCTTCTTCTTCTTCTTCTTCTTCTTCTTCTTCTTCTTCTTCTTCCCCCGCCAGCTATGGATAAATAGCAGAACAGGGTTCTATAGCCTACTGCGGGAAAAAAATATGCCTTGTCCATCATGTATCTTTCGATACATGATCGCCTAAGCTTGTGTCTAGAACTTAATTTACTGACTCTTATGTGTGATTGTCCCTTCCATTTTGGTTTAATAAAACAGGGACCAGTTTTTCTATGCTAGTTTGCAAGACCTACTAAGAATGGCCTCCCTATTTCAAAAACTGGAATTACTGGATGTAACCTCTCCGTTCATCAGAAATAGTGACGACTTGGAGCCAACAATATTACTGCACGACCTCGATTCTTGTCTGTCAGAAACACCTGTGAGTGCAGGAGAGAAACAAGAAATGAATGAATTTCTTTTAATGATATTGATACTAAAAGAAAAATGAAATTGAAAATATATTAAAGCAAAAATTTCTTTTATTCAAATGAAACTACATTGGGCTGAATATTACCAATGCGGTGATAAAATCTTTTCGAGTTACCTCCCCTCTCTATTGTAACTCTTCTATACTGTTAACTATAAAAGGCGCCATGTTGTAGTTCAGTAAAACTTCAGTAAGCACCACTCTCTAACATTTTATCTTTGGCATGTCGTATGAATGTTTCTTTTAGTTTTAAACGTTGGGGTTACCACTTTGTTATGATGGGCCTTGTATGACTCCCGGTTTTGTGATTAGTAAAATATACATCATAAAGATAAAGTGAAACATTTATACATAAATATATAAGGATTTATTATCGGAAGGTTTGGTTGTTTCCGTAGATATGTGGTTGTTAAATATTCTGATATTTATGTTGTCTTGTTGAATGATTGAATTATCTTCTTGGGATAAATCTATTATTCAAAAGTCATATTCAATATGAGGAACTAATGTTTGAGTAAAACTTATCTTTCACTTCATTCCCGAAGAGGTCCATTTTCACATGCTCTCATGGTGAGAGATTGTTGAAATAACAATAGGGCGTATTCTTTTTCTACTAAGGAATCGTGTTAAATTAGGGTTTTTCATTTCTCGTGATCATGAAATCACTACATAATTTTATTTCTCGTGATCACGATATTAGTACAAGTATTATATTCGGCATGGAACAACGATAGATAGATAGATAGATAATGAAGAAACTGAAGCAATTATGAAAAAACATATATTTTTTATTTCTCGTGGTCATGAGATCACGACATAATTTTTATTACTCGTGATCGCGCAATTACAGCACAAACGGAGTTAGTTCTTATCGAAATGTTATCAGTTACTATTTAATTGACTGAGATAAAATGAAGTTCAAGTTTGAAAAACAAATCTATGCTTTTAAATTAGTTGTTGAAAATCAAATTTTAAGTTAATGTTTTTTCTGAAGAGGAGTTAATAATTATAGCTTTATTCAAATAATGTTCAACGGCTGGTAAGTAACTGGAGATTTTATTGATTTTTAATTAATTATATATATATATATATATATATATATATATATATATATATATATATATAAGTGAATATTGAAGTCAACATTCAGAGGCCACAGGCTGTTTTATGAAAAAGCCTGTCGCTTCTAAGTGTTGACTTCTATGTTCACTTTTATATTTACACATTCTCTATCTCTGATATTGAGCACTTTATCCCATAAATATAGTCTGATCCAATACAGACTTTCCTGCAAGTTGTCAATTTCTATGGAATGCATTTTTTTTTTTCATAGCTGTTATGCTTGTGTGGCTCGTTGCTTGGTTAAATTTTGGATATTGCTTTATGGATTAACCTATGTAAATTCTTGATTCTCGAAAGTATTATGACTATCGTCTATCAACAATTGTGGAATCATGTGGGTTCCTGTTACGGCGAAGAAGGTAAAAAAATTGCTGCTATTGGATGTACGACCGATGCCTAGTAATAATGCTAGTCTTTTCTCGCTGTAATTGCGATTTTAATCGTCTGATGCCCTCGTTCGACTACCGTAATTTCCGCGCTATAGTCTGCACCTGGATATAACCCGCACTCCTATAAATTCAGTTTTCTGGCCCTAGCAAATGTAAGCGGGTGACTGCCAGCGTCATTTCTGTGGTACACTCCGTTGTATTCACTATCAGCACGTGTATGTGGCAAGACCACGTTCGATAGCAATGCGTCAGGTAAAATCTGGTACATTGTCGTTAGTCGCTAAGTCGATTTCTGGGTTACGTGTTTTAAGGGTCTTTGTGCACGATGTGGTAGGGCCTACTGTTTGCTTCTCATTGAAGTCGACAAGGAGTACGATGTTATTTATAAAATCAAATCCAAGTTGGGGATTATTAACGTCCGCCACTACGAAAATCTAGGAAAATGATCTTCTGGGGGCTTGTAATTCCAATGTCCAGTTTAGGTTGGCCGTAACATTTAATTTTCATGTCGTTAGCCGTTGATAATGTTACGGGCGTTGACTCTAAAGATATCGAGTTAGTTATCCTGAGAGGCGTAATGAAAACGCTAGCACCGGGGTCGACAATGAATGTTATTTTAGTTGCCCCTATCTTTGTCTGTATCTCCATTGTTAGGGACCCGGAGTAGCTGGCCGCTATCTTAGTCTATATCTCCAGAAGTAGGGAAACCGAGGAATCTGGCCCCGATTTTTGTCTGTATCTCCAGTGCTAGGAAACCCGAAGAAGCTGGCGTCTATTTTTTTTGTGTCTCTAGGAATAAGGAACCCGAAGAACCTAGTCGCTATTTTGTCTGTATCTCCAGGAGTAGGGGATACGAAGAAGCTGTCATCTAATTTTGTTTATATATCTAGGAGAAGGGAATCTAAAGAATCTGACCCCTATTTTTGTCTGTATATTCTAAGAGTAGAGAGCCCGAAGAAGGTGGCCCCTATTTTTGTCTGTGTCTCTAAAAGTAGGGAACCCGAAGAAGCAGGTCCCTCTTTTGTCTGTATCTCCAGCAGTAGGCAACCCGAAGAATCTGTTCCTTATCTTTGACTGTATCTCCAGTAGTAGGGGACACGAAGTAGCTGGCCCCTATTTTTGTCTGTATCACCGCTGGTAGGGGACACGAAAAAGCTGGCCACCATTTGTGTCTGTATCTCCGATAGTAGGGAACCGCCCCTGTTTGTGTCTGTTTCTCTAGGATAGGAACCCGAAGAAGCAGCTCCCTATTTTTGTCTGTGTCTCTAAAAGTAGGGAACACGAAGAAGCTGGCCCCCATTTTTGTCTGTGTCTCTAAAAGTAGGGAACACGAAGAAGCTGGCCCCCATTTTTGTCTGAATCCTTAGTAGTAGGGGATACGAAAAAGCTAGCCCCTATTTTTTTGTCTCTTATCTCCGAAGTAGTGGCCCCATTTTTGTCTGAATCCCGAAGCCCCTAAAGTAGCCCCTATTTTTATCTTTGTCTCTAAAAGTAGGGAACACGAAGAAGCTGACCCCTATTTTTGTCTGTAACCTTAGTAGTAGAGGACACGAAAAAGCTGGCCCGTATTTTTGTCTTTATCACCACTAGTAGGGAACCTGAAGAAACTGGCTCCTATTTTTATCTGTGTCTCTAAAAGTAGGGAACACGAAGAAGCTGGCCCCTATTCTTGTCTGTATCTCTAGTAGAAGGGAACCCGAGGTAGCTAGACCCTATTTTTGTCTGTATCTCCAGTGGTAGGGGACCCGAAGAATCTGGCCCTTATTTTTGTCTATATCTCTAGTAGTAGGGAACCCGAAGAAGCTGGCCCTATTTTTGTCTATATCTCTAGTAGTAGGGACCCCGAAGAAGCTGGCCCTTATTTTTGTCTATATCTCTAGTAGTAGGGAACCCGAAGAAGTGGGCCCCTATTTTTGTCTGTATCTCCAGTAGTAGGGACCCCGAAGAAGCTGACCCCTATTTTTGTCTGTATCTCCAGTAGTAGGGAACCCGAAGAAGCTGTCCCCTATTTTTGTCTTTATCTCCAGTGGTAGGGAATCCGAAGAAGCTGACCCCTATTTTTGTCTGTATCTCCAGTAGTAGGGAACCCGAAGAAGCTGTCCCCTATTTTTGTCTTTATCTCTAGTGGTAGGGAACCCGAAGTAGTTGCCCCCTATCTTCGTCTGTATCTCCATTGCTAGGGAAGAGGGAGATACTGGCCCCTATCTTGGTCTGTATCTCCAGTGGTAGGGAACCCGAAAAATCTGGCCCCTATTTTTGTCTATATCTCTAGTAGTAGGAACGCGCAGAAGCTTGCCCCTATTTTTGTCTGTATCTCCAGTGGTAGGGAATCCGAACAAACTGGCCCTTATTTTTTGTCAATATCTCCATTAGTAGGGAACGTGAAAAAATTGGCCCCTATTTTTGTCTTTATCTCCAGTAGTAGCTACCTGAAGAAGTTGGCCCCTATTTCTGTCTGTATCTCCAGTGGTAGGGAATCCGAAAAAGCTGGCCCTTATTTGTGTCTCTGTCTCTAGGAAATAGGGAAGCCGGAAAAGCTGTCCCCTATTTTTGTCTGTATCTCTAGTAGTACGGAACCCGAAGAGTTCCCCTAACTAGTTTTCCGAGTCACTGTTAAGCTGGGGATTGTGGTCATAATTTGGTAACATTTTCTTTTTTTTTTATTTTTGTTCGGCCATCTTGCCCCATGGCTTACATGGTCGAGCTTTGTCTGCAAAATAAATATGGCATATTTTCTGTTTTGGGATTTCAGCGAAATGTTGAAATCTATTTCGCATGTGGCTGTTGTCATGCGAACTACAGGCTGTGTTGTTTTGTGTCTTATTTTCCGTTGCCATAGCAATGTGTGTCCTATACACGGGGGGGTGTATTATTGCGGATAAGTGACATTAACACATCGGCTAATTATCTTAGGCGCCACTCATTTATGGGCCATGCGTGATAAACGCGCGATCATGTATCTTTCGATACATGACTGACGAGGCAGATTTTTTTTCCCGCAGTAGCTTGCCATCCAATGCTATATAACCCAATCTGGAGAGGTTGGGGAGAAGGAGATTATTCATACCTTTCCAAAAGATATTAGCACGTAAGTGAATGTAATGGATTCGACTGGAATTCGAAACTGGCTCTCCGATCCGCTATCCGTTACTCCTCCTTCGATACATGACTGGCGAGGCAGATTTTTTCCCCACAGTAGCTGGCCATCCAAAGCTCTAGAACCCGGTCCGGAGTGGGGGTGAGAAGAAAAGGTTTTATACCTTTCGCAAGGGTATTAGCACGTAAGTGAATGTAATGGATTCGACTGGAATTTGAAATTGGCTCTCCGATTCCTCAATCTGAGCTGTTATCCATTACTACACCGTGCCTCCTAAGGAGATTATGTGCCATGCGAAATACACGCGTAGGCAATCATGTATCTTTCGATACATGACTGACGAGGCAGATTTTTTCCCCGCAGTAGCTTGCCGCCTAAATCTATGGAACCCGGGGAGAAGAAGAGGATTCATACCTTTCCCAAGGGGATCAGCACTTAAGTAAATGTTATAAATTCGACTGGAATTCGAACCCGGCTCTCCGAATCCTCAATCCGAGCCGCTATCCCTGATACAATTACAGGAGCTATTGTTGATGAAAGTGCTTGTATAAATTTATGTAGCACAATATCTTCTACATTTAACCTCTTATTTATTGCCATCATTTTCTGGTGGTCATCCTGTAATGGCGGTTGTGAACGTTCATTTATCAAGCAGTTCCGTTTTTGGTCTTTCAAGATATTCTACGAACGTTTTTTTTGGTTTTTTTTAATCATCGTAATACCGCGAGTCTAAAACTGAGGCGGGAATTTTCGTTACTATTTCCTCAGGCAGTGATGCAATAACCGTATAAAATTTCGTAGTAGAAGCTGTACTTCCTCTTAGGTGGAATTGGGCCACGACTAATGAAAATCAAGCAATTGAGGCTGTTTCCATAAAGTCAGCCATTTTGATACTTATTTTTTGAACTGAGGCGTAGTTTTTTTTTTTGTTCCGTTATTCTGTTTAAATATGTAAAGTCTGTGAGAAATGTAAGAAGGTAATACCTCTTTGCTTCGTCACTAAATGTTACGAGACCTATTGAGATATTTGAAAACGCTTATCACTACTTGGTCTTGCTTCTTGCTATCTCTTGTTCCCGTCTTCTCTATTACTTTTTTTAAAATATTTTTTTACATATCTATATATGTATACAAATATATATCAAAATCGCTTTTGGTTGGGTTTGCCAATTCTTGTTATTTTTGTTTGTACTTGTTGTGTTGAATATTATGAAGATGTTTGTTGATTCTTTTTACTCCCTTTTTCGTTGTAATTGGTATGTCGTAGGAATATGTTTCTTTTCGGTTTAAACGTCGGGGTTACCACTTTGTTATGATAGGCCTTGTATGATTCTTGTGTTTGTAGTTAGTAAAATATGCAGATATCTCTATCTATAAAAGGCAAGATATGTGTGTGTGTGTGTGTGCGTGTGTGTAACGAATGCACGGCCGCAATTTTCGACGGATTTGCACCAAAATTTACATGCACATGCTCCAAGTTAACGGAAAGGCCAAGACCGATTTTGCATTTCCCAACTCCCATCGATAGTGGAAATAATCGATTTTGTCATGCTTCTACGGCAGTTTTCATGTAGTTTGCGGCCATTTTCTATTGGCCAAAGTGAGAGCCTATAGATGGCTGCCACGAATAGGCAGAAAGATTCTATTGGCCAGCGTGAGAGCCAACAGCTGACTGACACGAATGTTAACTAGTATGCTAGCATGCAAAAAAAATCGATAGCTGCATTCGTTACAAGTGGGAAAAATTTAAATCTGCATGGCACTTTACTCCAATTGGCTCATTCGCTTGCTTAAACTCAATGTTGATTCTGATTCCGCAGAACTGGGTTGGATGTGAAAAAGTATTTGTTGTTAACATTTTTTTTTATTCGGTTTTTCCAGCTACGAGTCCTTTTTCAAAGCTGATCGTTTTGTGTTCATTTTGTTTAGTTCTTTTTTCGTAACAGATTTAATGTTTAGTATAGAGCTTAGAAAAAATTCGCAGTGTGAGATAGGCAAGAAGTAAGGCATGTAGCAACATTAGCATGGCAAAGGGCACTCCTTTAAAGGCAAGGAAGGGCAAAAATATTTGAAGTCAAGTGATAGCGATTGCTGTATGAGTCGTACGATTTTTGAATCAAGCACGGGCAACGCCGGGCCATGTTGCTAGTACATCATAAAAACAAAGTGAGACATTTATACATAAATATGTAAGGATTTATTATCAGAAGGTTTGGATGTTTCCGTAGTTGAAAGTTCACGTAATGAGATGTTCTTATATTTATGTTGTCTTGTTGACTGAGTGAATTATTTTGTTGTGATAAATCTATTATTCAAAAGTCGTATTCAATATGAGGAAGTAATATTTGTGTATACCTTATCTTTAGTTTTCATTCCCGCGGAGGTCCATTTTCACATGCTCTCATGGTGAGAGGTTGTCGAAAAGACGCCAGATTCTAAATTTTTCGCCACTACGAGAGAATCGTGGGAAATTCGGGTTTTTTTAATTTCTCGTGATCGTGATATCACTGCACAATTTTATCACATTATCACTACAAGTTTTATATTCGACATGGAATAACTGATAGATAGATAGATAGATAGATAGATAGATAGATAGATAGATAGATAATGAAGAGGATAGATAGATAAAGAAAATGAAAGTTAATGAAGAAAAATAGATGATAGAAAGATAGATAGATAGATAGATAGCAATGAAAAAGATGATAGATAGATAGATAGATAATGAAGATAGAAGATGAATAGATAGATAATGAAAGGTCATAGATAATGAAGAGATGATAGATAATGAAGAGGTTAATGATGAAGACATAGATAGATAGATAGATAAATAGATAGAAAAGATAGATAGATACATCAAAAGATGATAGATGGATAGATAGATAGAAATATCAAAAGATAGATAGATACATAGAGAGATGATAGATAATAGAGGTTAATGAAGAAATGATAGATATGATAGATAAATAGATAGATGAACAGATAGATATATGATATATAGAAAAAATGATAGATAGATAGATAGATAGATAGATAGATAGATACATAGATGAAGATAAAGAAAGATAAATATGAAAGATAGATATAGATAGATAGATACTGATGAAAAATAGATAGATAGATAGATAGATAGATGAAGACACTGAAGTAAATATGAAAAGATAGATAGATACATCAAGAAACTGAAGTAAATATCAAAAGATAGATAGATACATAGATAGATAGATACATGAAGAAACTGAAGTAAATATGAACAGATAGATAGATATATAGATAGATAGGTAGATAATGAAGAAACTGAAGTACATATGAAGAGATAGATAGATAGATAGATAGATAGATAGATAGATAGATAGATAGATAGATGAAGAAACTGAAGTAAAGATAGATAGATAGATAGATAGATAGATAGATAGATAGATAGATAGATGACGAAACTGAAGTAAATATGAAATGATATATATATATAGATAGATCGATAGATAATGAAGAAACTTAAGTAAATATGGAAAAAAAAACAGATAGATAGATAGATAGATAGATAAATAGATGAAGACACTGAAGTAAATATGAAAAGATAAATAGATAGATAGATAGATTTCTAGGTGTGACCCATTCCGCGAAGTCTGACGAAATTATCAAAGATCGGGCAATTTTCAGTGACCCTTGATGACTTCTGTACCGTAAGTCTTATATTCCACATTGAATAACGCAACAAGTGTTGATACGACGTTAGAATTGTCAGTTTTATATAAATAATGCGGCTAACACGTGAAGACGGAAATAATTTTACACGGTTTGGCTCCATAATTAAAATAAACGACTCAACAAAAAGACCGTGCAATATACGTTGGCATTAATTTCAATCAATGAGCGCGCGTAAGGGCAGTAATAAGTTTTAGAAATCTTATTCCCGCAGCTGTCGTTATATCTCAGTGGCTTTGCGAATTTATACATATTTCGCCGGTCAAGCGATCAGATACACAGTGAGACTAGTTCCTCTGAACGCAGAAGATTAGATTCGCAAAACAATTAAGACAGCAGCCGGGAGATGTCGGGGGCAAATGACATTAGAATGCTTTCGTCCAATTGACTGCAAGACGAAATGCCGGCTCTAACAATGCGAAGTAGTCATGGAGGAATTAAAAGCTTGCAAAAAATCGAATTAGGACGAGGGCTAAATAAGTGAACAGAGGGGTAATTTGATATCGTCTTATGGTGGTTAGATAAACATTTCCCAAGCGACAAAAGACAAAGTGTTGGGGAACATTTGCTTAAAGATATATAATTGCACAAGAGGTAACTGGCCGACAACAAATCAGTCATAAAGATTTGAATAACGGTTTCTTTGATGCTACACTTCACGACACGTTTTCAGCGAGAGTTAGAGCCGTATAAATTGAGAGAACTGTTATTCAGTGATGAAAGTATTTTCATAAAACGATAGATAGATAGATAGATAGATAGATAGATATAATGGCTGAGATAGAAAGAAAGAAACTGACTGAGATAGATAGATGAAGAAACTGAAGCAAATGATAGATAGATAGATAGATAGATAGATAGATAGATAGATAGATAGATAGATAAAGAAATGGCTGAGATAGAAAGAAAGAAACTGACTGAGATAGATAGATAGATAGATAGATAGATAGATAGATAGATAGATGAAGAAACTGAAGTAAATATGAAAAGATAGATAGATAGATAGATAGATAGATAGATAGATAGATAGATAGATGGCTGAGATAGAAAGAAAGAAACTGACTGAGATAGAGGAAGAAACTGAAGCAAATATGAGATAGATAGATAGATAGATAGATAGATAGATAGATAGATAGATAGATGAAGAAACTGAAGTAGATATGAAATAGCTAGATAGATAAGGAAATGGCTGTGATAAAAGAAAAAGAAACAGACTGAGATAGATAGATAGATAGATAGATAGATAGATGAAGAAACCGAAGTAAATAGAAATAACATATTGTTGTGGATTCCATGATGAAATCCGGTCTCCAATGAATGACAAACGCAGGAATGAAATATAACAAATAAATGTATTGACGCAATAATACAATTGGTAATACGGTTAGTAGATCCAGAAACGCGGTTAGTAGCAATAATAATAATAATATATATATATATATATATATATATATATATATATATATATATATATATACAGTCTGGTAAATCCAGTCTCGAAGTAGGACTTCCTTAGAGTCTACGTGCTTGTAACTGTGACTCCTACAAGCGGTTACATCACACAATTGGAATTCTTAGATTCCTTCCACCGTGCAAATCAAAAAGTATGTAATGAAGAAAGTCCTTGATAAGAAATATGGCAACTTTTTTGTTCAGATTTGATTTCGTTGTGTCATTTCATCCATTGTTCAGTGATATCTCAATGGTTCTTTACAACTTCGCATAGATTTACTTGTAAAAGTAGATCCACAAAGAGCAAAACCTCATCAATGCCAGCGCATACGACTGGCCTGCACATCGGGCTCTTTGTCAGGAGTATTTGTGGGTTTGAAAGATAATTGTTGGCTCGTTCAGTTCCGTAGAGGAAGGTCGACGCAGAAGCGGCCACGTAAGATTGATTATAACGGAGGGAATGTAGAAGCCGCACCATTACGAATTGAGAAGAAGAAGAAGAATAAGGAGGAGGAAGAGGAGGAGGAGGAGGAAAAGAAGAAAATAAATGAAAAGAAGAAAGAAAAGAAGGAAAAGAAACGAAGAGAAAAGAAGAAAAAGAAAAGAAAGAAGAAGAAAAAAGAAGAAAGAAGTGAAAGAAGAAGAGAAAGAAGAACAACAAAAAGAAGAAAAAATAAAAAGAAGAAGAAAAAAGAAGAAAAAGAAGAAAATGAAGAAAAAGATGAAAAAAGAAGAAAAAAGAAAGAAGAAAAGGAAAAAAAGGAAAAGGAAAAAGACAACAACGACAAGCAAAGAACAAGAATAACAAGAAGAAGAAGGAGGAGGAGGAGGAGAAAAAGAAGAAGAAATAAAGAAAAGGAGGAAAAGAAACGAAGACGAAAAAAGAAGAAAGAAAAAGAAGTGAAAGAAGGAGAGAAAGAAGAATGGCAAAAAGAAGAAAAAAGAAAATGAAGAAAGAAAAAGAAGAGAAAGAAGAAAGAAAAAGAAAAGAAAGAAAAAGAAAAAAGAAAGAAAAAGAAGAAGAAAGAAAGAAGAAGAAAAAAGAAGAAAAAGAAAAGGAGAAAGAAAAAGAAGAAAAAAAAGAAAAAAGGAGAAAGAAAAGAAAAAGAAAGAAAAGAAGAAGAAAGAAAAAAGAAGAAAAAGAAAAGGAGAAAGAAAAAGAAGAAGAGAAAAAAGAAAGAAAAAGAAGAGAAAGAAGAAGAAAAAAGAAAGAAAAAGAAGAAGAAAGAAAGAAGAAGAAAAAAGAAGAAAAAGAAAAGGAGAAAGAAAAAGAAGAAGAGAAAAAAGAAAGAAAAAGAAGAGAAAGAAGAAGAAAAAAGAAAGAAAAAGAAGAAAAAGAAAAGGAGATAGTAAAAGAAGAGAAAGAAGAAAAAGAGAAAGAACAAGAAAATGATGTAAAAGACGAAAGTAGAAGAAGAAAGAAAGAAAAAGAAGAAATGGAAAAAGAAAAGAAAAAAGAACAACAACGACAAGAAGAAGAAGAAGAAGAAGAAGAAGAAGAAGAAGAAGAAGAAGAATAGAACGTGAGAGGGATAAAAGAAAAATAAGAAAGAATATGTGGAGAAGAAGCGAAACGGTTCACAGTCAAAATTACTGAATTCGATCAATGTAATATTTGTAAAAACCAATTCAATTGACTTGCTTCGTTCCAAGGTAGTTTTGTATTGTTTTGTTTTGTTTATTTAGCGTCATATCAATGGATCATTTAATGCCGAAATTTAATTTTCTCGGGAGCATTAGTAATTTCTCTTTACAAAAATGTATTACTGGTAATTTTTTTCTAATATTCTTTTTTTCTCATATATATATATATATATATATATATATATATATATATATATATATATATATATATATTTGTGATATTCTTGCTATAAGAAATGTATTTTTATACTTCTATAGTGTTTTCTTTTTGTTTGTAAGGAGGAAGGGCCATTACTTGCCCATGGCTGAGACCTTAACAGCTTTTACCACCCCAGGTTAGGGTAGACCTTGGAACAACAGCAATTAAGAGGTGGTTCCACGATAACTCAAAACCTCCCAATGAGAGGCCTTGCTGCCGGATGTAGTCTGTCGTCAAAACAAGGACACTCCAAGATAGTTGAATATAGATTTGTCAGTATACGTATTCTGGTACTCGAATGCAGAATTTCAAGGCGAGTTAGCGCAAACAATTTTCTAAATAGATTGTTTGATTCGATTATTACGGTTTATCAACCCTTTTCAGGATATTTAAAGCCAGAAAATATTTTACATTGTAAGAATTTGAGTGGTGGGAGGGTGGCTGGAGATAATAAATAACCAATAGTTAAGGAGGGAAAAGAGGTGGATTCATGCCTTCCCCAAGGGTATTCACGCGTAAGTGAATATAACGAACCTAACTGGAATTGAAATTAGGCTTTCCGATTAACAATTCCCAGCCATTATCCATGACACCACCCGCACATCCAAGTTTACAGCACATGGTATTCCCAAGTGGTTGCCCATATACGCACTGACCAGGTTCGACGTTGTTTAACTTCAGTGGTCATACGTGAGCCGGTATTTCAACGTGATGTGCTGTAAACCTTAGATAGATAGAAATATAGATTGATAGATATGAATAGACTGAGATAGATAGATAGATAGATAGATAGATAGATAGATAGATAGATAGATAGAAACAGAGTACGGGGACAGAAGCAAATAGATAGATAGATAGATAGATAGATAGATAGATAGATAGATAGATAGATAGATAGAAACAGAGTACGGGGACAGAAGCAAATAGATAGATAGATAGATAGATAGATAGATAGATAGATAGAAACAGGGTACGGGGACAAAAGCAGATAGATAGATAGATAGATAGATAGATAGATAGATAGATATAAACAGGCTACGTCGACAGAAGTAAATAGAAAGAAAGAAAGAAAGAAGCTTAGTGGTAAGTATAGGTTTAGATAGATAGATAGATAGATAGATAGATAGATAGATAGATAGATAGATAGATATAAACAGCCTACGTAGAAAGAAAGAAAAAAGAAAGAAACAAACAAACAACAAGCTGAGTGGTAAGTATAGGTTTATCTATCTATCTATCTATCTATCTAGATAGATAGATAGATAGATAGATAGATAGAGAGAATGAGAGAGAGAGAATAAGGAAAATGTGAGGAGAAATCAAGACGAATAAGAAACAATAGGAGGAGGAGTCAATGACTAAGAAGTAAAGAGAGTGGGGGGAGAGTAAACCGAAAGAGATGCAAAATGAAGAGAGAAAGAGCGAAAGAAAGAGAAAACATTTTTGAAGGAAGAGGAAATACCCGTTGTCACCATTATTGAATTCGGACAGCTTCTTTGTGCCACCTTCGACCAACGTTGGCTTCTTCGACAATCGATTCCATACCTCGAGTCACGAACCTGTTACACAACAACCTTTGCAATA